ATGATAGACTCTAAATGTTATTCGTCGTAGTTAAAATTCCATTCGAATTCGACAACGAAATTTATGCATCGAACCCGTCCTCGTTGAAGCCCGTGAAATCGAGAAAGAAAAAAGAAAACAAATCGTCAGTAGAGGGAAATTATCGTCAAAGTTCTTAACCCGACTTTCTTCCTTGGCCAACGAGGAATTCCTGTTTTCAACGATCCGTGGCTGCCTGCCTCACAACAAGTAAGAGATGGCCCCGATGAACGCCGAGGTTCATCGTGAACGGTCGGAATGCAACGGCGAAAGTTAGGGGATGCGAGAGCACGAAGCGACGATAAAACAGGCGGACGGACAGGGGGCATGATGGAAGATGGAACGGTCTTCCGGTAATCGATTCCGGTATGCTTCCAAGTTGGAAGAAGAATAAGGCGAGGAGACGAACGGAAGGAAGGGGAGGTAAACGAAAAGCGGGTTGGCAAGAAGACCTGTTTAAAACGCCATTTAATTTTCCTTCATGAATCATTTAGAGTATTCTTCTACCCCTCCCCTGCCCTCCCTTATTGCCGGTTCCCTTTCATTCCGCTCCCGATTCCGCCCAGTGGCGGATGCCTGAGCGGCAAGTTTCCCTCCTCATTACACGGGTAATATATGTATATCCGTCTATCGTTTAAATATTCACGAGGGGGTTCCGGTGTCGGGTAGATTCGCGAGGCAGATACAGGGAGAGTCTTACGAACTCCCTTTCGCCCGTCCTTTCCTCCCATTCTACGCCCTCCAGTCTTGCCTCTTTTTTCCTCTTCCCTCCTTCTCCCATCTCTCCCGTGTCCGCCCTTGTACGTACAACTGGCTCTCCCGTCTTCCGCATCCGTCGGGGACTGACTTCGAGAACAGCTAAGGGGGATGGAAGAGAAACACGAGTGCCATCCTGCCTTTTGTGGATCCTCTCCTTTCCCTGCCTCTCTCGCGTTTCGAGATCGCGTCAAGTGTTGCTGTACCAGTTTTTGGCGAGACGCGGTAGACGGTAGTTCATTTATAGTTTGCGAGATAAAAATATACAGGATATGTTCTGCTAGTAAGATTCTAGAGCTAGTAAGGTTGAGGTATACGGAATGCTCGAGAAGAATCTTTTATAAATATCGAATGACTCCTCTCCTCTCTTACGCTCTCCCCTCTTACGAATATTATTTGCGATATAACTTTTATAAAGATTCGTAGAGACTCGAGATGGTAGTGGAAATTATTCAGATTTTTTTTTTTTTTTTCAATTTTACGATTCGCGTCAACGAATATATCGAAATCATCGTTTCAAGGAGGAGGGAAGATCTTTTTTTTTATTATTATTAGTTTCAAAATCGATCCTATGATCCGGGGATAATCTTTTGGCATCCTTTCAATTCGTATAATGGAGACGGCGATGTTAACAGCGCGTAATATACTTTTCCCGGACTCAATCGGTTTAGAAAGTAGCCGTTGGACCTTGTTCCCTTATCGCGAAGGATTACGAGCGGATAACCGTGACTCGGATCATCACACGCGTGTCTCGTAATGGTACTTTTGTTGTCAAAATGTTGTCGGCCATTAACTTTACGATTCACCGTGCATTAAATGTAGATCTCGAATTAAAATTATGCGCGAAAGGGTGCGCGCATAATTTCACATCTCGAATCTACGAGTCTTTATAAAAGTTATATCGCAAATAATATAGAGAAAGTAATAAAATGATGACCTTCGTGCCGAATATTAATTGGATAGAATTACAATCGTTACTGATATCGTTATTAGCTCTAATCATGAAGCGCATCGGTGTTCCATAGTTTTAACGAGCATGTAATTATCCGTATAACGATACGAGATTTTCGAATTAAACTTGCTTTGTCACGGAATAAGGATAAAAAGAAAAACAAAAAAAAAAAAAAAAGAAAAAAAAATCGAGTCGTACTATAGGTTTACAACGTATTTATTAATGCAATGCTTTTTCCGTCGAATATCGATTTTTCGTGGGAGATCGCGTTTGAAGCGAGGAAAAATGGAAAATCGAGAGACAAGGGAAAGCGATTCGAGATTTTCGAACGGTCTACGCGGATCGCAAAAACCTTCCTAGACTCGGACCATTACTCGGACCATAGCACGGTCGGATAATTATACCAAAAGAAAATAAAAAAGTTGGCCGTTTCGTTTTGGTGTACCACGCGAAAAAACGCGTTTTCGTTCTTTATTTCGTTTCGTGCCACCGGTATGCACCGATTATTCCCTCCCCTTTCCATCGTTGTTTTCACGCCTGTACGCCGCGTGTCTACCAGGATGGAGAATTTTTTCCACCGCAAGTTCTCTAATCTGGGTAACAACGATCGGCTACATTTTTAAATCAGTGATTATTAATGTTACGATTTTTAACGTTGTCCTTTCATTTATATGTTTCGCAATAGGCGTATAATCTTCCATATCCTGTACATTAATTTTCCAAATTATGCAACGACGTTTTATTTATTAGATTATCTCTTTTCGATTTTTCTTCGATTATAAACCGAATTGAAACGATGTAGATCCGATAAAAAAAAAAAAAGATCATTGGCGTCCGCCAAATCAGACAGGAATGAATTTTAACGTCGATGTCATTTTGCGAACTCAATTTGCATACGATAGGGAAGAAAACGAACATAATATCCCCTCGTAAACGAGACATTATTGGCAAAAATTAAACCGCGTTACAACGATATCTCTGGTTATCGAAAAATTCGCCACTTCGTTTCGTATCTAGAATAAAAAAAAAAAAACCGGATAACTGGTTTCCTTTCAACGATAAGAAATGAACCAGATATCGGTCCGTTCAAAAGCAGCAATAATATGCAAACTAAAGCAGACGATAACTTGTAATCTTCTCGGATTAATGAGATAAATCTGAGATAAATCTCTGATATCTCGTATCGAGATGCTGAGACATTTCTCCTCCTCCGAATCACGCGAAGAATTTTTATTCGGAATATAATCATTGTTTCAATTACAAAAGAATTGTTCAATCAGAAAAATTATAAAAAAAAAAAAAGAATTCAATCGCTAACCCAAACATTGAATAACTTTTACTCGCGTTTATCGAGAATTCCCACAGAGGCGACTAACATCCATGAATATTAAACGCGATCGTAATCGCGGCCGTGTGTTGAATTATTTCGTCACAATTAAAAGACAAGCAACGACAGTTGTTGGACCGTTTAAGATCACGAACAACCTCGTAACCTCGTGCAAGTCCCCGAGGCGTAGCCAAACCGTGTGCAAGATCCTGTAAAGATCGTTGACGCGTTTATTGCCCTACTCCCCCCGGTGTTCCTCGGCCAAGTTGGTCGCGACACTTGGAACACCCGGTACAATGGCCACACTCATGCATATGGAAGTCGGCCGTGACACGTCTGCATCCTGCCATGCAGGCCAGTATCAGAAGTGTGAGATAGCTCTTCCTGTACGGGCCTCGGCCCGGCCCCTGCTGGCTTTATCGCGCCTCTATTAATTACCGCGATCTGCCATAAATTCAGAATAATAGTTAGGATTTACTCGAGACAGTGGCCAGGTTAAACGATCACATTAAATGCACATGGTCGCGGGGAAATAAGGGACTTCTCGGTCAGATAATTACGAGGAACAAACGGTATATTTCAGAGCAAAGGGTTTCCTTCCTTCCACCGTCTTTAATCTTTCGCTTAGCTTCGTCAAGCCATTATCCCCGGAATCGTACAAGTTCCACGATATCGTAGCGATATCTTTCTTTATTTATTTTGTTTCGCTTCGTATTGTTCCATCGAGATTCGGTCGACTTGACTCCCGGGGGGATTGAACTCCTCTCTCTCTCTCTCTCTCTCTCTTCGATCGAGTTCCTCGTAGGATCCTCCCTTGTTAATACTTAAGACTGCGGCTTCCTGCGATGGCGGCTTAGAAGCCGTTCCAGTTTCAACCTTAATCGCGTCTTAATGAAAAAGGGAGGCAGAAAGTTGGTTGACGAAGATTGAAATTGAAACGTCCGCCGTTAGATTTTCGGGAGGAGGGAAAAGATCTTAAGGGATTCGGGGGAGGGGGAGGCGATTCCTGTGTGTATTCCACTTTTAAGCCGTGAACACCTCGCGCGCATTGTTTCGTCTCCCTAAATTCTCACACTCAGGCGAGCGCGTCTTATCCGGGAGAAGGAACAAGGGTCTCTTGAACGCTTTATGCTTCGAGACAAAACGCTTTTCAAAAGTTTACACGATGGTCCTTGTCGGCTCTTGTCGTCACTCCCGCTCGCCGAGAGATGATACCAGTAGTCCGTGGAAGCCGATTACTCGGGTTCACCCGGTGTATTATCTTGGCGAGAGAGATACCTAAGACGGCCGAGAACCTTTTGTACTCGCGCAACTCGCCGCGATGTTGTATATGCCATTGAAATTTCATGAGATGGAGGACTGGTGTATTGTTAACATTGTCCACTTAATAGCCATAGAAGTTAGTCTCTCTCTCTCTCTCTCTCTCTCTCTCTCGTAGGCGAAACGGAATCTCGAATGTTTCGAGGCGCAACGACACGTCTTCCGTGTCGCTGTTCCACAGGATGGCGATATTCCTTCGAGGATGCGAGAGTAAAACTTATCCTTAATACGCTACGTCCGACATGGTCCGTTTCTACTAGCTTCAGATGGAATCCGTGTATATTTGCCGTGTATAAGGAGAAGAGAGAAGGACGATGAAGGATGATAGAGAGGAAGGGGAAATAAAAACGGGGGGAGATACGTAAGAAAGATACGGGGAGTGGATAGGAAGGGTAGAAAGAAATAAGAGAAGCTCGAACAAATGTTTTCAATACGTTGCATAAATCGCGTGTTTCTTCGTAAATTGAAATGGAAATGCATATAACCGTACGTACGGTATGGAAGCGGCTTTATTGTTCTCTTCTTATTCCACTGATATTTCTATGCTATCTTTCCTTCTTTATGTATCGCGGCCCGGATATCGATCGAGAATTTCTTTTAACCGTGGACCATCCTTTCTCCTTACAGATGTCATCGTCCTAGGGATAGTCTGTTCTCCTGGAGTTCGGGCTTCGACAACTTCACGGGATTCGTCAACTGGGGCTTCCTGTTGTTGGGCATCGGTGGAATCCGATTGCTTCTCGAAAATTTCATAAAGTAAGTATATATATATATATATATATATATTCGACATTCCTGATAAAACCGATATTTTACCGATCGTATTCGTTTCGAAGATTTGCGGTTCAAAGTCTACCAAAGATCGATAATACATTATAGATATCGTCGATTGAGAAAATCCGTGTATAATTTATATAAGATTTTTGATCAAGGAAGAAAGTAAGAGAGGCGCGTAGGAAAATTGGAAAAATTTTCGTCGTTCAATTATTCGTAACAATTTACCCGATTAGCCCGCTCGTTCCTTGCAATTTATCAAAGAAACCAATGTCATCTCGTGACACTGATGCTTTTATCCGCCGCAAAGATACCTGGAGCTTGGATTCGATGCGTCCCTCGGGTATTTTTTCGAATATACGCGCGAGAGGGGTTATCGAGGCGTAGACCTCTCGATCATGCGACTGGTCAATAGATGGAGGTTGAAAAACACGAAGGAAAAATCCATAAATGCGATGGTTCCACGCTCGGGCCACGTATATTGCCGTGAAGGGAGAAATATAAATTCGTCAACTTGGAGACTCGTATAACAAAAAAAAAAAGAACATTATTTTATATACAATTTTTATAATATAATTTATTTAAAGAAATAAGAATGATTCGATTAAATTTCAATTAAACCAAGTGGCAATTTTGAATAACGGGCGAATTTTTGGTTAATTAGCGAGCTGACCGACCGAACAAAAAGCCGGGAATATACAGGTTCGAGAGGTTTTTCGTGAATATTTTCACCTGGAAATTCGGGCGTCGAGGGCATGGAAACAAAAAAAAAAAAAAAAAAAATGGGGGGATCAATCAGATCGATAGTGAAAAATGAGATTTCCCCTGTCGTTTCGGGGGAACAATGTAGAATTCCTCGGTGGATCTATTGATGTCATTCTGATCGGAAATCAAAGTCACCTACGACAGCCTAATTTATTTCGATAACTACGTTATTATCGATGACCGTGCCAAAGCCTCGATAAAACCTTTGTTAACAAACGTTATTATCCGAGATACACGGACGTTGCATTAATCAACATGTAAAAGCCGGAATATAATTCACGTTTATTAATATGTTAATCAAACTTCCGGTTGAGACATTAACATTCGCGTTTCTAAAATTCCGTTTCCGGAATCTACTCTACTCCCTTCGAATCGAATTGTACAGGATTTATTTTTCGGGGACGCGACTTGGCGAATCCAATAGTAGATATCCATCGGCCGAGGATACGGAAATGAATGGGGGCTGTCTGAAAATTAATTAATTTATGAACAGGTTGAAAGAAAATCCTTATTGCCGGGCGTTGATTAAAATTAACGGGGAGTCGGATCTCTCGGCCACGCGACGAGACAAAATCTTTCTCTCCCCCCCTTCCCTCCTCCTCCTCCTTTACCAATTTTCTGGCCGTTGAATGGAGAGAAGGGCAAAGTACAAGCTCGGCCCATGAATAATTTCAACGAGATTTTTATCGCCGTTGTAAACTCTCGGGGCCCAGGGATTCGCCAGCTCCTGGGAGCGCGTAACAGAAATTTATCACGCTCGTTAAGCGTGGAAAAACTTTCGAAAGAAACTTTCGCGACGTAATTGCTCGGGTTAGTCTCGAACCGTTCTTTTCTTTTTTTTTTTTTCAAACAAAATCCGCGGATGATCGCTCGAAGGATATTTTCCCGAACGAAAGATCGAAGAAGATTGCACGCGTGACAAGGTGGAGAGAATCTAGTCCTCTCGAGTTCGGCCGCAATCTTTGGCCAACGTTATTCCTCGACGATAACTATTTTTTTTTCGAAATTCGCGTTTACTGCTCGTCGAAACGGAAAAATGGAAAATTTCTTTGTGAACGAACGAGGACGGTTCGATCGTTCAAGAAAGAAGATTGTCTTAATGGGAAATAAAAATTGTCTTGTTTGAAGAGGATGGGATAAAAAAAGAAAAGGGATAAAATAAGATAGGATTAAAGTAGGAAGTTGTTGCACCCTTCTCTTCCAAGGATTACCATCTATTTAGAAGTCTGAGGAACTTTCTTGAAGGGGGAGGAGGGGACTGACTTGCTTAGGAAGTGTCGAAATAGTTTGAGATAGTTTGCTCGATTCGAAAGTAGGGTAGGCTTCTCGGTTCGTGATAAACTGGGTCTAAAACGTCTTTATTTACGACTTTTATAAAGAAGAGACTATCCTCTATAAGATGTAAATCGCATTGCTATTTTAGTATCCTCGGTATCCTAGTTTTCGAGAATTGTTTTTCGTAAAAAGATTCTGCGTTGATAATGAAAATTGGACAATCATTTTCATTCTATTTTTTTTATTAATCTTTTTTTTTTTTTAATTATTTTTTTATTAATCTTCTCATTCTATTTCGATTAATTATTATCAACTTTGCGAATTATTATCACGGTGTGAATTGAATTCGTAAGAAATCTGCCCTTGTTCCGCGTGGATGGAAGAAAAGATGGTTCGTTCGTCGAGTCAAGGGAATGGAACAAGGCGAGTAACGCGATTTCATGGGGATCGAGATTAATCGACGCGGAGGAAGGACGGGGGAAGAGAGAAGGTTGAAGCTCGGAAGAGACACGACGGTAAGAGAGTGGGGGAGGACGTTTCTCCGCCAAGTGAAAAAAAAAAAAAAAAGTACGAGAAGGAGAACTCAATTAATCGGACTCCCGGCGAAGGATTCTGGTTCTATCGATAAAAGTCCGTGGAAAGGTTTGGGAGATAGAGGGACAGAGAGAGTATCGAACTTTCCTACCCCACTTTCCCCTTTCCCCTTTCCCGTTCGAGAAACTTTTTGAAAGATCTTCTAATAATTTATGCACTTAAACTGCAACTGTTCGAAGCTTGGCGCAATTCTTAATGGGTCGAGTTTACCGGGACACGATTCGCGAAACCGTGAAGATGGGATCAAACGGCGAAATAAGGCGAGCCTTTTCCTCTCTCTGTTCAACATACCTCGCGGAAATTGGTAAATTCAGGCAGGATCAAAGCAAATTTTCAATAAAAACTCGTCGATCGAGCTCGTCCAACGGAATTATCAGCGAACGCTAATACATTAAGAGAAGATTAAACAGATTCTTCTTCTTCATCTTCTTGCCTTCTTATCCGTTCTTCGATACCGATTCCTTCCCCCGTGAATTCTTCCCTCGTGATTTTAAAATTTAAAATTATCGTATCGGATTGGAAAAAAAAAAATACCGCGTAAAAATCTGGCAAAAACACGGACAAAACGAGGGAGGGGGGAAAAAAAAGAAAGGTATATTTAAAAGCTAGCCGATAACAAATACCCTTGAATAACAAGGGAGAAAGCACAGGGGAGGATCTCCGATCAAGTTTCACCCATTATTTTTCGAAGCTACGCCGCCGAGTTTCATATTCGGGAGGAACGATTACACGATGTCCGGCTTTGGAAAATTTTCAACGATTCGATATCGGTTCCGTCGCGGAGGGACGCGCCATCCTGGATTCATCGTGTGTCACGTTCAACCCCTCCCTCCGCCCCCTTCTATTTTGCGATTTTCGCAAGGATTCACGTGATGCCGAGAAATAAAACTCGTCCACCGTTGATCCGGATTACAACGGAGAATCCTCGAAACTGTACCGTTACTCGGTATTACCGAGCGCGAAAAAATGGTATTAGAGTCCGTTTCCGGCATCGCGGCGCAGCTTCGTCGTTTTCACCCTACCCATCCTCCTCGCGTCTTTGATCCATCGATATCGATATTCCCGCTCCGTAAATCAATCATCGAAACCTGAGAGATTTCGAAATTGTATTTCTTTCGTATCCCCCCCGTGACCCCCGTGCGCGGTCAGATTTATTTCCAAGCAGCTTAGAACATTGCATTCTCGCTCGCAGGAAGAGTAACTCAAATTGTTACCGCGTGAAATAAGTTTACTTTATTCGAGTTTGGCCTCGAAGTATAAGTGTTCTTTAGGTTTGTTTTAAGAGGATTTATTCAGGTTTATGTATATATATATATATGTTATGAACGTGGCACGTCGAAGGGAAAATTGATTTGTAAGAATCTTTCATTTCTAGTTTTATTAGGTCGCAATTAGGAGCAAACGGCGCTACGATTTCGATCGAGTCGTATTATATTTTCTATATTCGTCTCGCTTAATCCACGTTGACAAGTCGATTACGATACAACTCGTCGCCGCTTCGCGGGTATGCATTTGAGTCTAATTGAGGATACTGCTGTCGGTTGTTTACGCCGGGCTGGATGCACATCCCGCCCAGCACTTTAATCCGATTAACGATACCGCGGAAAGTGATTTAAACTGACAGATTGCACGGGTAAACCTTTGTACTCGTAATCGGATCGTGCCAATTACACTATGAACTTGAAATTCCATTAGATGATCGTGCCCTGCCACGCGGAATTCAGGTCACCGGATTCTACCCCCTAAACGAGCTTTTAAATCGTATTAATGACGGCGTATCGGATGCCCATACAGGTCACTGATCTTGCGCCTCGTTGTGCCCTCTCTCCGTGAGGAGGCGTCGGAGTCTCTCTCTTTTTTCTCTCTCCTATTTTTTTTTTTTTTTTTTTTTTTTTAACAGCTCGTTCGATCGCGCGCACACCGGGAATCGACTGTTTCGATGGGAGAGAAAATATTGCGCTCGCCCCTGATTGACGGTTTACACGAGAAGCCGGTACACCTGGCCGGTTAATGCGTATCGATGCGCCTTCGCTCATTTACAGCTCGATCGCGTAAACCATCGAATCGCCGAGCCGTGCCGCGGCAGCCGGCCATTTTCTTTAGACCAACGGATAAAACGGTAACAACGCGAACGTGCTCGCCGGGTGTCGTTGCGAGATAAACTCCTACTACTCTTCTACGCTTGTTTATTAATATTTAACATCCATTCACGATCGCGTTTTTTTTATACCAAGAAACGTAACTCTTTCAACTTCGAGCAATCGTCCTTGTCTCTCTCTCTGTCTCTCTCTCTCTCGTCATCTTCTTCCAGGCTCCGCTCAGCTCGAGCAATCGCTCCATTTCTCGATCGCGATCGTCTTCACATATCCATCTTCGTCCCCCTTTCGTGGATCGACGTGGAATCGACGTGGATTTTTATCGTGACGCTGTATTAACGAAGTTGGACGAGGAAAGAACGGGTGCGGATTTAACGGGCACGGCCGGATCAGAACGACTATTCTCGTTTCGGGAGAAGAAATTTAATATCGTTCCCGTTTCACGCCTTGGATCGATGAATTTCGATATCCAACTCCGATATCCAACTCCGAGTTCTCGCCGTTTCGGTTTGCTTTATCGGGCTTATCTGGAATAAACAACCACCGGCCATCCTACTTTTGATAAATCCAATAAAGTTTTACACCGAGAACGTGTATATATATCCGCGAGGCTGCACCAGTAGCCCAGTTGATTGCAACTTTTGTGTGTAGATGATCCGGTTCACCAAGAATGGAGGCGGAACGTGAACCAGGATGACTTTTTCAAATAGAATATATATATATATATATAAAGAGAGAGTGTTTGAAGGATGGAAGTGTATCCGAACTCGTTCCAGCCGGATATCGATTCACGTTCTTTCTTATCGAACGTGACTTGCAGGATCTATTTCGAGAAATGTTTATCTATGTATCATTATATATATATAATACAAATATCTTCTTATCTCAATGTTTGCACATAGTTTTTTTTACTAGTAATCGAATAGTAAGAATAATATTTTGCAAATTATATTACGTACTTCTATGACGAGAAACAGATTGTAGATGAGAAAGAATATCGATAGTTGGGCCAGAGAATCGATGAAAACGATACGCTTCTAATCCAACGTATTCTCATTCGAATCTGCCCCCAATGATAACCTCCATTTTTTACTTCCATTGTTAGCTTCCATACCATAAAAATAGATATTTCATAACTCGTGCTAAATTCTTACGAATTCTCTCGACGAAAGGTCCATTTTTCGCATAATTTTTTGTACCATTCCGCGGTTCAAAAATAAAAAAAAAAAAATAAAAAAAAAAAGGAAAATGGTTCGATTAAAATTCTACGATTCGCAAAACACGTCGATCCGCGCCCCCGTAAATGTTTTCGATGTTTTGCCATTCTTTCTCGGTGTAGTATCGGTAAAGCGCTTCCGGTGCGATGCGTGCCGTTGCCTTCGCGGCTTCGCGTGTTTCATTTACATCGCAAAAAGGAATTAACTCGTATTAACCGCGGTCAATCCGTGGATTAGACGCGCGCGTATATCGATTTTTCCTCCCGGCAAAGTGTTTAACAATTCAATCGGTGAAACTGCACCGAGGATACACGGCCCCGGTATTCTAACCGAGCCGGTGATTCAGCGGCCGGTAATATAAGGGGATTGATGCTCCCTTTCGAATCACTTTCGCGTGGAACGAGCGGTTGGTTACTATATATATATATATATATATATACGCGCAGCGTAGCTATCAATTATAAACGTTTGATTTTTCCGTTCTCGCTCTTCAATTATCACGGCCTGCGTCAACGTGACTGATTGCGTTTGTGCCGACAAAAAGCGTTGCGGCGAGGACGAGAATGGGAGGAGGAGGGTTGGCGGTGGACCAGTGGGAGAGAAAAAGAGAAACGAATCGCGATCGCGTCCCAATAAATATCGTGTACCCAGCGGATGTCGAGACCGCGCCCACTTCAAATACTTTAATTACTTCTCCTATAAGCCTCGTTCATCATCGTTAGCCGACGCGTTCGACCCGAAGCCATTAGTGTCGGTTACTATCCCCTTTGACCTCTCCCTCTCTCTCTTTTTTTTTTCTTCTTCGATAGTCGGCCACCGAATGTAGTTCGTTTGTCTTCCGTGATCGGCAGCGGTCGTGTGCAACAAACGTTTGTGATGGGTCGGATTGATACGATGGCGAGCGATAAATCTCGTTCTCGATATAGAGGTAGGTGTATATAAAAATTGGTCGGGATTGGTCGGCCTCGATTCGTGCACTGCGAGTCGTTTTTCTCCCCGGATGTGAAAATATGTTTAATAGACAGCGAGGTAGCTTGACGGATGATTTACGCGAGGAAATTCGAGTGGCGTTTTCGCGTAATCGAATTTGAGCAGGAAGAGATTCGCTCCATGGTATACTCGAACACTCCTGTTTTAGAATTTTAAAAGAGGCGAACACGGGGAGGCGACGTTTATTTGCCCGGGGAAAGAACAAAGGGGAATTGGAACGGACCCCCTTCGTGACTTTTTACTCGACCCTTTCACCCTTCGTTCCTTCACCCTTCTTTTTTTTTTTCTCTCTCTCTCTTTTTTCAAGGACTCGCGAAGAGCATCGCGTCGAAGACAGACGTTAATAACGGGACGCCTTTGCCCCTCGACCCGTGTCGCGATGTAGACACCCGGTTCACGCGACTTGGAAGATAAAATTGGAAGAGCGAGGGAGGGGGTGGATGGTAATAACGAACGGGGCGTTTCCCGCTCCTCCTCGCTTTCCCACGAGCGTTTACGTGGCTTTTCTCTTTTGTTCTGCTATAGGTACGGGATCAGAGTGGATCCGTGGCAATGGTTTCTGTTTCTAAGCGGCACGTACGAAGGTGGCGAGGAGCATCCCTCGATTCTGCTCATCATATGTAAGTTCTTTGATCTTTAATCACTATTGTATTTTTCTTGAAACTCTTGGGAGGTTGGAGAGGAATTGGAAATCGAATATTATAATTCATCCATTCAAAAAGAAAAAAAAAAGAGAAAAATTAGTAGAAATTGCATACACAAATTCGGCAACGTTCCTCGTAATTCCCTCCCATTCGTATTTTACCCAAACGACAAACGTGACTTTCCTCGAGAATGCGAGGATGGAGGCGTGTTACGGAAAAGTGAGCCGTCGTAAAAAGGTAATATGTGCCAGGAACGCGGGCAAAAACTGCTAATTTAAATGTAAAAGTAATTAGCGTGTGACTCGTTGTTGGACATTCCAGTGGTAACGCGCCGTCCCATGACCGCGTACGATTGCTCGCTAAATTTCAAGGATATCTCGCCCCATAATTCTCCAAGGCATGTTCCAACGCGTTTATCGTAATCTTGTCGGCGCTTTCAGAGACAAAGGAGGAGCCAAATGGAGGATGCATCGACAGTGATCTTAGATGAATTCGAATTTATCGCGAAACGGTTGCTTCGAAACCTCGACGTTTAAACCGTTTAGACCTAAAAGAGACGAGATTCAGCGCGGCAAAGTGGCGGTACGCGTAAATTTCGTCGCTCTACCGGAACGGCCTTTGGAAATTTCTCTCTCTACGCATTGTTCTTTTATCGGTGCACTCGCGGTTATCCGCGTTTTCATTTGGAACCACGATATTTCGTTGGCGCGGCGGAATCGTGAATGTTTGGTTTCCGCCTTCCCTTCCCGTGAAAAATCGAATTGGCTCGATTCATATGTCCGAAAATTTTCACGAGATGCGACGTTAAGGATATCCGTGGAATTTTTTTATTCAAATTTCTGGACGAGATTTTTCAAATATATACGTTTCAGTTAAAAACAATCGTTCTATCGATAGATTATATTTAAAATTCGCACGAACTTGTAGTTTCAGATAGTTCTTGGAAGATTACAAACGAAACAAACATTGAGATAAACATCGGATTCGGATTCGATAATCTCCACCTCGAGGTAATAATTTAATCCAAAGACCGTGTTTACGTTCGAAAGGTTTGTCCCGATGTGTCTTCTCGCCGTGACAAATAATATCCACTCAGTGATTCGTCCCGAGTCATTTCACTTCTTCAAACTTCCCTTCCCCCGAAGCGAGTCTCGGTTTAATCCAATTTATCGACAACCTGTACACCGTTGTTAATTTTCTGGACGCAGCCGGCCGTGTTGGAATTCGCACGGGTTGGGCGTGTCGACTCGCTCGATTAACGGGTGTACAAGGTTTCGAATATTCGATCGGTTGGAGGGGGGTCCGACACAACAAGTAGCGAGTGACCTAGTAAAACCTCGTCGTCCCCGAGTTGCGCCAATTTGCCTATACTCCGCAACTCTCAAGGCTAATTATCCTTGCGATTAGGCAGCGAAATTAATTTCTCTCCGTGAGAAACTTTCCCTGTGTGAGTTGCTTTTCCAAAGAACCTCCGGCGCCCGATTCGACGGACTTGGCTACGGGGGAGACCTGGAGGGACCTCTCCTCGATGCTTCGCCAACGTCTCTCGGTGAATACGCGTTTAAACTCTCGTAAACTGCGCCGCCTGCGTTGCTGCGAGCCGCCCGTCCGCGTGCTAGCTTGCGAATCGTGTACGCGCACAGGGTCGCAGAGGCTGCGAAATAACGGCAGAGGGTGTCTGCGAGGGAGGGAGAAGCTTTGGCTCGCATTATTTACGCGCGAGGGAAGGTAATGCTCGTAGGGAATGGGCTGTGGTTAATAGCTCTCGTATTTTAGAATATTCGTTGCGTGCCACCCCTTCTTTCCTTCCTCCCCTTAACCGCTCCTCCCCAATCTTACTTTCTTCTTCCTTCTTTCTTCTTTTTGTACCTCGGCTCCCCGGCTCCGCTCGAGCGAATACACACCCCTCGACCGTGTTGCCTTCTATTCCTCGTAGGTAGGTAGGTAGGTAGGTAGGTCATAATAATTTTCACGGCTCCTGTACGGCCTGGCCTCGCCGAGATTGCTTTTTAAACGGCGCCCCGCCAGAAATTCTCTTCCTCCGAAGTTCGCGGCTCGCTCTTTCGCGATTAGGGAATTAATTATTCCGTGGACGTCACGAAGCGCGAATTATACCGTTTAAATGGCTGACCTCCGTGATTTATTCCCGGATCGCTCGCGTTGATTAGCCTTCCTACACACTTCGTCCCCTCGCTTTCTAACCGTTTTTTCTCGCCCCCTCCTCTCTCCTTTCCGCTTTTAATTAATCTCTTCGAAGTTGAGACCGGAGACGAAGAGGTTGACAGTTTTACTGAGAAAGACGAATTTCACGGTACTGTTTGCCGCACGGCCTCCTCTCGTCTCGATCTTCCAGTTTCACCTCCTTGAATTTGAGTTTCCTCGATCCGTTTGGAACGATCGCTAAAATTATCTGATAAAGGCATGACGACGAAACGTTAATTGTAAGCTTTACAGCTTTACAGCGGCCGATAAAACTTCAAACAGTGGTGAATCGATGTCGAGTGGATAGAGGGGATGCGACGTTATTTCGTAAAAATTTCCAACCGGTTGTACTGTAAATCTGTTTTTCTTCTCCGGTGGTGGTTCACTGGTCGTGCAAACAACCAGCGTACATTGTACCGCGGTTTGTTTCTATTTTTCGAGAAATTCGAGAGCATCCTCGGTGTCGAGGGAAACGAAACACAGACCTTGCATTAAGGATATAATTGAATTCCGTTGAAAAAACCCAACTGCGATAAAACTGTCCACGTTCGTACGTTACTTTCCTCGGACTCGCATATTCCTGCCTCGAAGAAACTGCGCAACTTTAACTCGTTGGAGAACGCTGGAGAATGGCGGAGGAGAGAGAAAGAGAGAGAAAGAGGAGGGAAAAAGAGACGAGAGAGAATAGACGCACTTTCGCGACCTTCCACCTCCTCGCGTTTCTTTCGAAGGAAACGCTTCGGCCACCTACGCCCGAGAGTCCGTTTTGATGGTTTTGCGAAAGTTTCGGAACGGCAAGTTTCGAGAAACTTGGAGTTGACTGTAATTCAATGCTCTCGAGTGACGTAACGAGTCAAGTGCAAATATAAAAGGGTGTAACAAGCAAACGATTATGATCTTGCTTCCGAATCTTTGTTGCGTTAACTGTATGGAGAGGGAAATAGATTTAAAATAAATCTCGCTTGAGAAACTCGTGATTTTATAAAAATATAGATTGTATCTCCTTGATATTATCTATCTATAAAAATTTCGTTAATTTCGGAACAGGTTATATATCTTTAAAGAATATTGTGTAAGAGTGATAACAAATTGAAATTCGTGAGGTAAACACAGCTCGGGAAAATACCAAGTTTTTCTTCCCTCTTTTTTTTTTTTTTTTTCTTTTTTAATACGCGAGAGCCCGATCTTCGAGGCCAAGATTTTAGATTCGATTTCACGAGCGAAACTCGCGCTTCTTTCGTCCAAAGCTTTAAATCAATCTGTCTTAAGTAAACTCCAATCAATTGCTTAAACGTTTCGAGATTCTCGCATACACCCCCGCGATTCTTATCCCCGACTCTCGCTAATGGATAAAACATTTCCAAGGAGTGGAAGAGTTTTCGGATTAAACAAAAATCAAGAGGATTTAAATTAAAAATCAACGCGATTTAAATTAAGCTGGAAATGGACGCCGGAACAAAGACAAATTGATACACGAAATCGATAATTCTTCCATGATTCGCGATGCGAGTGACCCGGATTGGTTATCGAGTTCGCGGCAATCCGTGCGCGAAAAATCCAAGTAATTATCACGCGGTATAAGCCGCGCTCGTAGCAGATTTCTTTTTTTTTTTTTTTTTTTTTTTTTTTNNNNTTTTTTTTTTTTTTTTTGCCACAACCCTCGAAGGAGAATTGACGGCCATCGATGCCGCCATCGAACCCAGGGATACGGGCCATTGAAATTTATCTGCAGTCGCGGTGGCCTGATAAAAATTCATCGGGTTGAAAACGGCGTTGGGAACGTCATTAGTCGATCTAAAGTTTGAAAAGCACCTGAAAAGCCGCCATTCGGAGAAATAATTCGGCACTTTTTTTTTTTCTCCCCTCTCTCTTTTTCTCTCCCCATGACTCCCCCGTTAACGATCGTCGTCGTTACCAAACGATGCCCTCTATGAAACAATCGGTCGGTCCGGCGAAAAGTTGGACTCTATTCCGCGCGATGTAGCGATTCGGGTGGAGGGGAATCGCTTTCAAATCGAATTATTGGTCGGATAACTTTCCTCGTTGATGTAGCTACGCGGAAAGGAAAGTCGGCGAGAGTTGCTCTGGGGATGGAGGTAGAAGAAGAAGAAGAAGAAGAAGAAGAAGAAGAAGAAGAGGAAGAGGAAGAGGAAGAGGAAGAGGAATAAAGGAGAGGAAAACAGCTGGCAGGTAACAGTGGTTATTCCTGGTCCTGGAGGGATGGTTAAACTTCTTCCAAATAATTGACGTGGAATGGAAAAATTTTTTCGACCTCGGTTAATTGGAACAAAAAGGGCCGTAATGAAATTCCATATCGGGAGGATATGGGGGAGGGGGGATAAAGGTAAGAAAAAAGAGGGATGCCGATGGCGAATCTCCGCGGGTCGATTTTATTTCTCCTTGACGCGCGAGCGTAGAGCATGGTCAATTCCAACCGCGTCACGTATACGTCGTGCTCGTGCTCGCAACGGCGTGAAAATCGTGGAAACAGATTTTCACGCCGATACCGGGGAAATTCATGGAAAGCCCGGTTCGCTCGTGTTAGAGGCGGCGAGATATGGAAACGGTAGAGACGCGGTGCGAATCCACGTATGAATTACTTAATCCACTGCCTATACATGGCTCAGGGTATAATAATCGAATTAAATGCGAGATTGCGCCTGCGAAAAGGCTTTCACGCATCCACCGTCCGTGCATCCGTATTTTGCAATATCTATCGTGGTCGATGTAGCCGGCTAAATGCCATCGGAAACACTTGTCGACTTCGCATTACG